AGATTGTTTGCGTTGTGTATGAATAAACCGTGTTTTACACAGTTTTAAGCATGATCACCGACATACGAACGAAATACTGTATCTTACATTTTATTATGCTAATTCCCTTAAACAATGAATTCCTTGATTGCATTGAAATTGTTCCCTTTTAGATACGTACCGTTCACACAGTGCACAAACGAAAACCGAAACGGAAAAGCGCAGTCGAATCGCTGGCTTTTCCGGCGACTTCAGACCGAAGCCAACTTCTTCTGGCCTCTCTGCCGACACTAGCTCTTCCGCTGCTTTTTCTAGACGTGTTGCCGTAATTTCGCCCGAAGGAAAATTAGGTTTGCAATTTCTGATGTGAGACGGTATGTTTTCCAGTGTCTTGACGAGCTATTTTTCAGATACCACGGGCAGTGGTCTTACGTCGCCACTTTCATCCGATGCCCAGGCTCAGTATTCCTCTACGGCATACGGTAAACATAAGGCCACTGGCTCTTCGCTAGCTCAGGCTTATGATTTGGTCGGTTTATCTGAAGGTAGCAGCGGTTCCGAAGAAAGGGGCGGCGATGGCTCGTGGACAGACGAACTGATGAGAATCGTCAAAGAGCCAATGCCCGAAACTCTTGACCGCATGAAAAAGTATAGCACGTCGCTAAGTCAGCTTCCCGCCAGTCCCGTGACGCTTCCGGCCAGAACTGGTATAGTGCTGCAATTATTATTGTCGAACGTTGTTTCGTATGAGTTGCATCGCTTGCTTCTTCTAGAATACGAAGCTGGCCCAAGTCGCGCGCCGATGAGAGAAACTCTCACTGAATCGTATTCGTCTTCTTACAAGGAGGTAAATGAGTTTACAGGGCAAACGTTTTGTTTAAAGTACACGCACAGCATCAAGTTGTGATATTTGACTGTGGCTCCATAGGAAAATAGTTTTTTTCGGTACATAGACATGCGTAGATACGCATTTTTTTAGTCAACATATCCAATACAGTGAGATTGCCCAGTTTATGGCGTTGGTCGCCGAAGTGACCAATGGTTGTACAGCTCCTTCCTGGACGTATTTAGTCGACCAACCGAATTTTAGAATCAGATAGTTCCTTCCTAATCGTGCGTTGTGAGCGAATCAACCTCGATACCGGAAGCCGATTCGTACTGGTGGCATCATTATCTAGAAGCGGCGCTGGAATGACGACACGCGGGTACAATTGACACGTCTCTGATTGCTATTCACCTGGCTCTTCTACAAGTCATGGGGTTGCCACGTGCGAAGATTAAACGGGCCACTAGAAGGATGAAGCATGGCGATGTCCCAAGAAGTCGATGAGTGACGACAGTGGATAAAGTGAATTGAAGATTCTGAACAAAGCATTGGACTTGTGTACGTTAAAGCTGTCGTCATATGATTTTACTCATTGGAGTCACCTGGTTTCTTCGAAACTTCACTTCCATTGGTGACCCGGTATCTTGCACCTGAAATAAAACCTTTGCTCTCGAATCTGATGTATTTTATTTCTACACCCTGTATTTTAAGAGTTATATCGAGCAAAACTCGAATTTTACTCCCTTTATAATTTTATCGAGGTGAAAATCCGGGCGTAAGATCCACAGCTGACTAGTTATGACGTATGTCCATTGCATCGCCACGGGTTCCGTCGTTTGGCGATCAGTGTAGATTCACTGATTAACGAATTGATTTAGAAAACCCGGAAGATTTACATTCCGCCCTTTCAACGACAGATCTGTAATCAGCATCAAATTCATACAGAATTCGTTTAACTTTCTTAACCAACCATCGATGATTCTACATATGTTGATTTTTGGGGCATACGGTAGTGGTCGTCCGCATGATATCTAATAAACAAAGGTTTACAATCAGCATTTGAAGGTTGCAGCGTTCCTTCGCCCTGTAAAATGAATGCCCTGGCGCAGCAACTATGCTAACTGCAGTATACAGTTCGAGTTCCAGAAGGTAGATTATGTGAGAAAATCTGATACCTCTTGTGCTATGGAAATTTAAAGTCAAGGGCTGCAGTATAGGGATCAAAATCGGATTGTCCATCATGATGAATACCAGCTTATACGTATGATCACCGCTGCATTTAGTTGTATATTTCTAAGCGCCTGGTGTATTCTGCGTCGCGGAGCTGTCTATTGGAACCGTTATATAAGAGGATGCTTTTACGTAGCATCTAAGGTTTCGTTTTTTCAATTTATATGCTGTTATTTTATCATCGTCATCTTTGTCCGTTTTGCAAAATATCTTTCTGCTTAAGTACTGTGATGCCCGCTGTTCATATCATACTTTAACATTTTGAAGCTAAATCATATTTTCTGCTTGAAAAAAGGAACGGTTTGTCATCGACAGTAAACCTTTAGTTTCTGCCGGCGCGGCGTTGGCTACGAGATTTAGCAGGTCTTGTTGCTATTAGAAGAGGTAGCACGATGTCGATGTTCAGGTTCCCTGGTGGCATGGTGGTGAACCTCATTTTATCCCTCGAACATCTGTTATTTAACTGACATTGGTTCAGGTTGTACCGCAAATAAAGGAGGAGAATATTTACCGTGTGAATCATCGAGCGCAGCTTCAAGAGCAATTTATTCTGAGTTCAGAATTTGGTTTCTCGGTACCACGACTGGTTCTCAACTCTGGATGTTCACTTGTGCCATTCTGTGTCAAGAGAAATATGACAGATGCCCTTATAGTTCTTGCCGCCAATAAAACGCTAAGGTAGAGCACCCACTGAGGTGGTGCTGACCATCAGAATTTAGTGCAAGAATTCTGATATGCTGTATCTGTTGAGGTAGCTGCGTACAGTATTTGATCACTTGTATCAAGTATGCACTGCAACCCGTCTTTCGACCCCTAGTTTAAGCATCATCTTGATAGAGCAAAAATCTTTACTAATTCACTGCAGAAATGTGATAATTTTTATGACCGGTCATTCACTACATTTATCATGTGCCATTGCAGTTGAGAGATGTTCTACGTAGGTGACATGCTTAAAGGAGTTCTTGGCCGTAAAAGTTTATGCTCGAAATAGCGCTTCATGTTGAATCATCTTAAATTCGCTCAACGTCCGACCGATTTGTCTTTCACTACTTATATTTTATTTTTTATGAATGTTTTTTAGGAGTACACCGCTGGCCAGCCGTTATAATCACTTACCTTTGTTGCCTGCCAGCTACTGCCATTTCAGCCCGTTCCTTTCTGTGGTTCTGCGGCTCTTACGAACACTGCGCCCGTCACTGCGTTCATTTATATTCTGCATTATAGCTTAATTACGATTGGATGTAGTCTATTATGCCTGTCTTATTACAAGAATGTGTAT